TCATAAGTGAATTTGATGCAATGATTGTATACTATGGTCTTTCAACAGGAAATTCCGAATTTCGACAATTGAAAAAGACCATCTTGTTGAAGTTACATCTATCATATCAGTTGTCATTTATTCAGTCCGTTTTTCCAAATCACCAAGGTTGGAAATGGGTATTCTATTCGGACAACATATCGCGCGCTTAGCCCATTTTATGGTCGCCATAATCGTCCCATTGAGAGAACTATTCGCAATGTGGTGGATGAATTTGAGTTCACTAGTTCAGTAAACGATCGGCCAACACCCGTGAGAGTGTGTCAAAGAACACGAGGCAGGCGATTTCGCAACGCTCACAAGAACTTGGCCTTTTGCAGATCAAAACTTGGCGAATTTCGCATTGTGAATTGGGCTTGCACCCGTACAAAATTCAACTGACCCAGGAATTGAAGATAAACGACTATAGACAACGACGTGTGTTCGCTTACTAGGCTTTGGAGCAGTTGGCAAGTGAGCCTAATTTCCATCGAGAAATAGTCTTTATGGATGAGGCCAATTACTGAATGAATGAGTACGTGAACGAACAAAACGATACAAGAGCGTCCAATACATCCCGAAAAAGTCACTGTTTGGTTGACTGGCGGCCTCATCGATCCATATTTCTTTGAGAACTATTTTGGCCAGGCCACCACTGTAAACGGCGAGCAATATAGGTCGCCGTTTACAGTGGTCAATATAGGTGATCTGGACACCAATGGCATGTGGTTGATTATACTTTTTTTGTAGGATCGTAGGTGTATGCGAATAAGACACAAACAGCGGCGGTCCTCAAAGCCAACATGACCCATGCCATTGGTCAAATTCTGCCTGATTAGTGCGCCAGAGAAGCCATGGCGGATATTTGAAAGATGTTATATTTTACACATAGGTCTTTCAAACGGATAAAAATTTTTGATGATATCCCACTTTGTTTTGTTCAAATTCAATGGTAGAAACCGCTCAATGAAAAATTCTGTATATTCAAAAAAAGCACGCTTTCCAATCACTAGAACTGAAATATTCTGAAGAGTATTGAGGTAACGGTGCTTATTTTGAATACATCCTACGTTAAAGGTTCAAGTTTTACCTCTAATTAGCAATTATTGTCATTCCAATATATCTTCGAAACAGTGAATCAGTCACAACTATAATAAATGATCTGAAATAATCAAATCGCATATTTTTAAAAACTATTTTTCTTATAACTTTTCCAATGTCGAACTCATTCCACCGAATTTCAACATATATCTTTGAAAACTACGAGAATCTAGTGGTTTGACTGAAGTTTCAAAAAANTTAAGTTTCCACACCGTACATGTTTTTTGAATTGAACAACTGATATACTTAGATCTATACTCGTGAAAGTGCGTGAGGATGATCATCGAAATTACAGCAGAAATAGATGATCAACAGGATCGAAATTTTCAGAACGGTGAATATCTAATTTAATGGAACGAGACTAGAATGATTGCCAATGAAGCCCACTGTAAGAGACTTAAACTTGAAGAATCGGCGTCGTATATTCCCATATCTGTAAGGTAAGACCTCGTTAATCCTCAGCTCGCACAAGTTTCGACTTCTGAGGGTTGTCGTTCGTAGGGGTACGACAGCTGGTTAACGGAAAGACAGATTTTAAACAGATTTAAACAACTCCTTAGAAATGCATTGCAGACATAAGTGAGGTTAACTTTTTCTGAACAAAATTGTTGAATGAAAATGTATCTAAATTTAAGAACCAATGTGAAAATCGTAGAATCGATAATTTTTCTGATATTGAAGTTGAAAATGTGTATAATTTTTTTCTTCAGAAATTTGTAAAATATTGTAAGAGAACGTTAACAATTGAACAGAATTGTTTTGTATACTGTTGATTAAAAGTAAATTCAGTGTTTACCTGCCTGTCAAGCCCAGTTCCAGTGAAATTCCCACGATTCCGTTCCAAAGTTCAGAAAAATCACACTACACACCAACATTGGAGAGAAACAAGGTATTTACCGATTCCAGTTCACATCACAATATATGCATATATTAATGAAATTGNGCTCTAGAAACTGAATTAGCGCTGTATATTAGGGCGTGCACACACACAACGAGAGGAGTTGGGGTTTAATTGAGCGTGAAGTTCAGATAGCGTGCGTCGATTTGTTGTTTAAGCCTGGAGGCAACGTTGCCACTTTCTAGAAAGATAGCTTCAAAACATTTTATTGAAATAACATGACAGGAACATTGCTGTGGTGTAACAACCTTGATAATAGCAAATATTATTCAACTCGTTTCTATGTGAATAATGAAACGATCAATCAACATTGAAGCTCAAGTCTTAGAAGTCCATAAAGAGGCATTTTAGTGTCATTATGTAGTTTTCCATCTCCTACTATAAAATGATAGAAATGTCCGTTCACTGGCAGTGGAGTTAGGCAAAACGTCGAAAATCATATATTTTCTCGTTTATTCACATCAAAATACCGTTTTACTGTAAAATAATAATTGTTGATATGTTTTACTAGTTTGAACTCCCATTGTGTGATAAAATTCCACAAATAATGATTCGAAATCTATGAAAGAGTAAATAAAATTGGAAAAAATAGCAAACATATCAGTTATATTAGTCAATGAAACGTGAAATAAAAAAACAATGAAACAAATAAAATAATCAAGATGAAAGATGTGAATAACCACTTATATAGTGGCTTGAAACTCTTACCATTGAAAAAGCCCGCAGGAAGCCCTGAATCTGGATGAGATTCGTTAACGACACCTTCATAGTAGGAAACCATATAAATACAGAACTAGACACCTTTCTGAAGCACATCAATACCGTCAAACATTCCATCATCTCCACAATGAAGAAGAAAGTCTGCAACGAATTACCACTCTTAGACGTATTGGCGAAAAAGACCAACACAAAGTGGAAAACATAGAACCCACACACACAGGACAATATCTGAGGCACCAGTCAATCTAATAAAATAACACTGATGACCTTCAAACATGACTCAACCTCTGACAGAAGCACCAAACTCTTACGAAGATTCTAAATTGATGAACACTTCAATCTAGCAGACCACTATTATAATTTTCATGCAGTCATTGTTCACTGTGGTTCTGGCGTTGAATCTGGTCATTATTATGCCTTGGCCAAAGACGAAATGGACTGGTTTGGATTTGACGATAGTCATGTCACTGAGTGTTCTGGCGATTTATTGAATATATTGGAGCCTCTGGAGACACCGTACATTTTATTTTATGAGAGAGAGGACATTAGCATATCTAGATCTTCAGATGATGTGGTGCTGCAGTTATATTAGTCTGTCAGTGCAGGAATCTTCACAGAAAATTTCCTGCATATGCAATTGACAATACAACTGAAAGAGTCGACCTTTAATTTTGGAACGGGCACACTTGCAGACCGGTTTCAGGCTCCTTAGCCACTCGTTAGTGCAATATAGTGACCATCATCGATTTAAAGTCAATGATATTCCATAATTGAAAATCGAAATTCTTCCAGAGTATTTCATTCCTCTTCCTAAGTTAGAGCGAACAACAAAATCTAACTAGTGAACGAGGTGCTATCCAACTGCATATCCGAAATTTGCCCGATTCTTTTGAATAAGGAAGAAAAACTTTTTTATTAGTTAGTGGGCTATGCTTGAAGACTGGCAGTGAACAAATCTAAAGAAATGAACTTTAAATATTCAAGCCAGTCTCGTATATCCCTACACAGTAGTTTGAATGGACTGACGCCTATCAACAAACAACTACTCCACTGGCTAATAGCATAAACGGCGTTGGATCATATCCGACAGGTCAGTGCAGGAATCTTCACAGAAAAATTTCGGCATATGCAATTGGCAATACAACTGAAAGAGTCGACCTTCAATTTTGAAACCATATCCACCAATCTACCAAAAGAATAATATCAAGACCCAAGTGGATCGATCTTTCGAACTCTGTAATACTCTGTAAGATCTCGCGAAGTGACTAGGCATTATCAGAAAAGATCTTCAATGAAATGGTTACTTCAAAGTGATAATGGAATATACTTCGACTGGAAGATAGCAAAAGCTTCGCAAGAAAAAGCAGTCGTCACAACCAGTGCTTGCCCTTCCCTTCGACAGAAGATTGTCAGAAATAATAAGAAGAATTGGGTCCAAGTACAACAGAAACTGTTTCAGATCCGGAAACACCATCCGTAGCAGCCTCACAAAATTCAGGCCATCAACTGCGAATTGCGATACCAAGAATTGAATTTACCGGATACCCTGTGAGTGCGGCAAATCTTATATCGGTGAAACTTAGAGGCCGAGCACAAGAGATACACATCAAGAAGAAATAGCAGAGCATGTCTGGACTCATCAACATAACATCAAGTGATTTCAATTTGGGGTCATCCACCAGGAAAGAGCACTGGTTCAAGAGAAAATTCAAATATATATGTTGTCGCATTCAGCTTAGCTAGCGTAGAGATACGCCCCATATGGAACCTTGTAACAACGCGAAAAAAACGGTCAACTTTCGCAAAACCGGTGAAGCGGAGAGGGGAAAGAGTGGATAGGAGAAAGTGCTCGTATGACCTATAAATAGTCATCATTCGAAGAAACACTCCAGTCATCACCCAAAGACTATTCTGGATACCAACAATCGAAATGTCGTGAAGTTACTTGGCTTGAAATCTCTTTCAAATTATTTTTATATATTTTTTTGCTTTCTTTTCCCTTTTTCCATTTATTTATTTTGAGAAAAAGTAACCTATTTTAGAGTTCAACACTTTTCATGGTGATGATGTTTATATATTTTCATTCCAACATTTGATTTGTAGAGAAACCATTATCAATATCAACTTTATACATGGATCTGGAAATGAGTTGTTAGTTTTTCTGGCCATTAATTCACTGATGTATCATCTCAATCATACAAATAGTAGATGGAGAAACTGAAAATTACGAAATGTCATAAATTATCAATTGAATCTTCTTATTTCACAATACATAAGTTAGTATTGATAACTGTTTTAGTCCAATATGATTGTGTGAGTATCCATTTCTATTCATTGGCCTATCCACAGTATTGTTCTTGGATATAATTTTCAGCTCTTTCTCTGTCTCTTTATTGAATTCATCTAACATTTCATCTTTGTCGAGGTCGTTGATAGTTGCAGTTGGTTCTTCTTCTTTTTCTTTTATATCCTCCAGTATTATGTCTTCGTCTATATCATCTTCACCTCCATTGTCATCCTCTATGTCGTCATCATCTACATCTGCATTGAAATTCGTTAGTTACCATCAATTAGTGGAAGACATACTTCCTCACCTTTTTTGTATCGAACAATATGTCTTATGTTTCCTCCAGTTTTTTGACTGTAATGGACTCCTGAAGAAATAAAAAATGATTTCGACATTCAATTGAATCCATTGTACAACAGAATATACAACATTATTGAAATTTATTGTTCCCACAATTTTGATGATTCGCCACGAGTGACTATTAATAAGTGCATATGATACCTTCAGTATTCTGATGAATGATTCTCTCCACTTTCAATACTCCCTGTTCTTCAAATGTCCGGCATGTGCAGTTTCCTGAATCTGGATCACAACTGAAAACATCAAATTGAATGACTATTTCTTCTATATATATATCAGTTTCGGTGACCTTTCATGAATATTGAAAAAGATAGAATAGAACGTTCCGAAAACGGTATCCAAATTCAAAACAAGTACTGTTCCCAAACACCGAAATTACAACTCTTTCCTTGGAGCGCGCTTCATCATGAAGACCTCATTTCATGGTGGCGCTAATTTGGTTGGTGAAACGCGCATCGAGAAGAGCGTTGCAGTTCTGGTGTTGAAGAACAATACCTTTTTGGTTTATTCTACCCCAGAGGTTGCAGTTCTACCTTTCATCACGGATATCCGAATGGAAAAATATTTAACAACCCCAATTATTGTATAACTTTTCTACATTTACCGAAACCTCTAATGTAGGTAGTTGAGAGAGAGAAATATTTTGAGATGAAATCTCGTCCCAAATAATTGTCTAAGAGCTCAGTAAATTTCTTTTCAGTGGTATAAGAATGAGATGTGTTTTATATCAGTGTCAAAATGAATGTTTAATAGTTTCCTCCTGAATCTAATCACGCTGAATCTTCATGAAATAATCAAAATAAAGAAAAACATGTTTCCAATTGATTCTCAAAATTACTGTTTATTGAATCGTTTTCAAATGAAAGTTCATTGTGCGATTGTCACTGAACATGTTGAGTGTGGAAATTTTATAGCAAAATGCATTCAATGACTTCAGAAGCAATATTGAAATCACGGAGAAAAATGTCATTAAGTTCTGTCAGAGATCCACTTGAAAATCTCTATTTTCTATCACATGATGAATCTGTTGAGGAAAATGATTGCAAAAAAAGCATTTTTTCATTGCAAAGTATTCAGGCATTGAAAAAAATCTGCACAGTTCCAAAAACACACGAAGAAAATTGGAAAATCTCCTAGCACGCAAAATAAGTAATTTTCTCGACATGAAATATTCTGATTCTGTGATTGCGAACGAGATAAGTGATGCTTGTACTCTAGTCAAATCAGTATGACAATCAATGAATCATAATCATCATCTCTCATTGAAAATTTGAAATGAAATCAATCATCATCAGCATCAAAACTAGAAAAATGCCAAATTCTCGAAAATCTCACTGCAAACAGTATCATGTTTGCATTTAAATAGAAATCGAAAAATTTCTTTCTTAACGAGAAAAACAAATCAGATAAAATAGTTGAGAAATGCCCATACAGTTCCTCAATAGGTTCAAAAGGCAAATGAAACNACCTACTACTACCGACTGACATCGTTCCGATAAATAGTTACGAATAAGCCCACAAGCTTCCTGAGAAAAACCGTAGTATAGAAGTTTATCACACAAAACATTACGATCAATAGTATCGAACGCCTTACTATAGTCTAGTAGAATCAGGTAAACTAGTTGGCCTTTATCAATTGAAGTGAGAATGTCATCGGTGATATTTAGTAAAGCTGTAGTGGTGCTATGAGATTTTCGGAAACCAGATTGAACCAAAGTTATAATATCATTTGTTTCAACAAAATGACACATTTAATCTTTCAAGATTAGCTCAAACACCTTAGATAGAATCGGGAGTACGCTTATTGGCCTGAGGTGACCGAATTCAGTGGGATTAATACGCTTTGGTATGGGAATCACGTTAGCTCGTTTCCAAGCCGCAGGGAAGGTACAAGTAGAAATAGATAAATTAATAATATAAGTAATATGGTCAATACGTTTAGTTTCTACATAACGCAACATTCGTAGAGATATTAGATCCGATCCGATGTAGCATTACTGGTGATAGCATTCAGATGTTTCCTTACAGTGTCTTTGTCTATCACGTGAAAACTGAAGTTGCGATAATTTTGAAAAGAATATTTGTCAAGTAAAGATAATTGACCTGGAGTTTTAGTGACGTGATTGAAATTGAGAAAATGAGAATTCAATAATGTGGGATTATTTAGGTTATATGGAAGTTCAGATTTTTTATCGTTCCTCAGGATATCCAGAGATCTAAGGGTATTCCATTTGGCTTTGACATTTTTATTGTGGAGTACAAAATTTAGATAAGCTCTTTTTTCGCGATGTATAGCTGCGGTTGTATAATTACGTATGTTCTTATAAAAACTGAAGTCAGTTTCTAGTCTGGTATGCTTGAATTTGATCAAGGCTCTATTTCTGATCTTCATCATTTCTTTTATAGTGGATGTTAACCACGGGGCTGGGCGTCTAGAAGTTCTAACTGTTCGAACCGGGGCGTGTTGTTTATAAAGGGTTATAAGATTATTATACAGAAAAGTGAGTGCATTAAGATTTCCTAACGTATAGATGTGATTCCAGTTGATGAGATTGAGATCTATTTGAAAAAGGTTGAAGTCAAATTTAGTAAAGTCTCGATAAGTGATGTACTTAATGTGATTAGAAATGTCGATTGATTTCATGAGCATCTACTGATTCAATGTCATCTGGTTGGGAACTCACTAAAATATCTATCAAAGTCCGACTTGTTGATGTAATGCGGGTAGGAGTAGTCATCAGCTGATGGAGTTCGAAGGAGTTAAGCAAGTCATAAAAATGTTCAGATCGTTTATCAGGAAGGGGAAGATTTATATTTAAGTCTCCAACAATAGTCAGAGAGTCACAGGTAGGTAGCAGATTTCCAATTGCATCTTCTAGCTCGTTAAGTGATTGGAGAATATTAGCTTGGCGAGGACGGTAGATAACTCCAATTATATAACTATTACTTTTAAATTCAACTTCAATCCAAAGTTGTTCTAAAGATTGAGATATTTGGGAAAAAATCAATTTATAGTTTATGTTACTATATTGTTTGTAGAAACCTACACCGCCACCTCTGCCATTCCTATCGGCACTAATGAGAGTATAATTTCGTATGTTGAATATGTCAGAGTTTATATCATGGTTAAGCCAGGTTTCAGCCAGAGTCTCTCATTGAGCAAATGGTTACTGAATTGTGCGAAACATTAAAAAAACATAAAAAAAGCAGATGCCTAATTCATAAATTGAGAATTGCTCTCATAACGATGAAAATGTGAAAAATTGAAATCCGAAACTACTTTGCAAACGGAGAAAGATAAAAAACTGCATGGTCCGAGAACCATGAAGAATTCATTCTAGTATTCATTATTCTCATTATTATCAGGGCAAAACACTCTTCCAAAAAACTATAGACCTTTGCTATCAGTGATATCAGTAATCATGAAGAAAGTTCAAAACCATCATATTCTCAGATATTTGGGAGGCTTTAACCTCTTCAGCGATCATCAATATGGCTTTCGGAAAAAAAAATCAACAGGCGACCTTCTGTCGTATGTCACCCATATTTGGAACAACGCAATTGAAAAACATGGAGGATCAAGAGTTGTTGCGCTCAATATTTCTAAGGCTTTTGACCGTGTGTGGCAAGAGGGTTTGCTGACCAAACTTCGATGCTATGGCTTGTCAGATCATTTTTGTCTATGGCACTTCAGCTTCGTGGAAAAACGTTTCCTGCAAGTGGCCGTCGATGGATATTCTCGAATACTTTCATCATCAACGCTGGTGTTCCCCAGGGATCCATATTGTCTTGAACCCTCTTTTTATTGCATATCAACGACTTATTCGAAAAAACCTAGAATCTAATACATTGCTTTGTTGACGACAGCACACTTGTCTCGTTATTCCATTTGGCTTCCAGGACATCGCCACGGAGGCACATCTTTACCGGCAGCAGGAGATTGCATATCTTAATGAGGATCCAGAAGTGATTTCGAATTGTGATGAAAGTAACCAGGGTCAATTCAATGCCAAGAAGATAAATGTCTCCAAACCGGATTTAATAATGTCAGGTCGGCCAAATCCGCTCTCTACTTCGATACGTTTGTTGGGGGTTTAAATGGACACCAATATGGCCTGGCACAATCTTGTCACTGGAATTGCAAAATCTGCTTCTCAATAGCTTGGCACACTGTTCCGAATCAGAAAACTGTACACACTTCAGCAACCAGTTTCTGGATTCCATCCAGTTTCTGGATTTCATCCAGAAAAATGCCATCCGCCTGATTGGAGACGCGAACATCATGTGCAACCTTGATAGCCTGAAACATCGAAGAAAGGTTGGAGATTTGTCCCACTTCTATAGATACTTTCACGGGATGTGTATGAGTGACTTGGCACATTTGATTCCATCAAGAGCGGTACATATCAGAAATACGCGACCGACTGTGGCTGCTCATTGTTTTGAGGTTCGACTCAGTATACCTCGAACTACACTGTTTAAGAACTCTTCCATCTGGAGAACTGCGTTAATGTGGAATAAACTTCCTGAGAACTTTTTCCTAATGGATTTAACCTCCAGCGATTCAAATACAATGAAAATCGCTACTTTCGCACGGACACCGCTCTGAGAGCGCCTTGAAGATTTCACTGTAGTGCTTGTGTTTTGTCTTCAATAAAAAAGAAGAAGTTCCGTAGATTTCATACAAATTGAAAGTTCATGATCCATTTTACTAAAATACCATCATTAATCTTTAGAATCGAGACGAAACTTGAAACTCGTATCAATGTTCTGCAGCGAAACCTGCACAGAGATATGGAATATTTTTTATTTGGTTAGGAGTTTCGTTTCGTATTAAATCACTGTTAAAATTCTTGTTCGTTTTTGATATTCGTGGTTTGGGTTTTCTGTCGGTCCCTTAGATGGCGTTTTCGTAAAAAAAAGTAATCCTCCTAACTTCTCACTCAGATTTATTTCTGTTCAGAACAGAACGTCCAAACTTCTCATTCCTGATTCGATGTAGCACCATGGATGCTTACAATGCTTTAAGGCTTTCATATAATCTAGTTGCTAGATTCCAACAAAAGCAAGGCACGCCAAACACAAAACAATTCAGTTGAAGTTTGGCTTTTGCAATTGACTGCTGTATGACCAATCGTTCATGTTTGAAATTCGTGGAATAGGTAGAATCTCTAGATGGCATTTGCAAACGTCCTCAACTCTATTTGATAATGGAATATTTGTTCCAATATCA